AAAGCTGGATCAATAGGCCCCCGGAGGCGCTCCCTCCTACCGGAGGTAGGGGTCAAGGTGCGCCGCAGGGACATTTGGGGATTCTATCGGAGGCACCTGCACACAGGGGAAAGTGTGGATGGAGGCTTCTTCTTGAAAGAAGAAGAGGAAGAAAAAAGAGGAAGATGAATTGGGGCTGATGCGCGTCCTGCGGCACCTTCTGACACGTGACGTCCCATCCTGAGCCGCATCGCGTGAAGTGCGGTCAGTCTCTGATCTCGAGATCTCTCTCTCTTTCGCTATGGGTGCTTCCGTCAACAACTCCGTGGAAAAGAAGGCCAGGGAGCAAAAGCGGTGGGCTACTCACTTTCCCGTGAGACGGGGTGAAAGCATGAGACACATGGACTGCTCGCTCTTAGCCCTGTTTGTTCTGGCCGAGTCCCATGGCGGATGCGGACGGAAAGAACACTGGAAAAGGGAAGCGAAAGAGAAAGCCACAGAGATAGAGAAAAAGAAGACGAAGAAGGGAAAGATAAGCAGGAAAGGAAAGAAAGAGACAAACGCAGAGAGAGAGAGAGCTGTCACACTCTTCGCGCCCCTGTCTCTCTCTCACAGAACCCTGCTTACACTGCCTCCACCCTACAGTACCTGCGCCTGACGCCTGCGCCTGGCATGCTTACGCCTGCGCCTGCCACCTGCACCTGCCCTGCTTGCCTGCCCGGCCTGCTCTTAGGCGTAAGCCTTGAAAATATCAAAGCAATGGGTCTCACTGTGGCCTTGTGCGACATGCAATCTGACTAGCGCATCTTCACTGGGTTTGGCTTGGGTGTGTGAAAAGGAATGTTTGCGGATAGTGTGTGTTCTGGATTGAAGGCCAGAAAGGCGGAGTCGCTGGCTGCTTGCTGATTGGGTCTGATTTGTCAAGTGGTATTTGTCAAGTGGTGAGGAAGTTGATGAGTGATAGTGCGGTTGATGGGACCGATGTGAAATCCCAAAAGTGGTCATCGTTGACGGGCTCAACTTCTACGGGGGCGTTTCGGTGAAATGGTCGTTGTAGAGAATGAAGCGGTTGTCAATATAGCGTGCGTTGAGAAGGGCTAAGAGGGTTGCTGAAGGAAGATGTGGTATGTGTCACGCCATGTGTGCTCAACGATTGTGATAGCGATGTTGCAAAGGGCTGGGGATAACTGGCTGCCAAAACAAGCTTCTTGGATTTGTTGGGAGTAGGTGTTGCATGCTTGACAATGCATGAGTGTAGTAGCGCATGTTGTGTACTATGACAGGGGCATCGGCAGCGTCAAGGGCCAAGGGTTCGTTGTTGGGGATGGAAACGATGGTGACGGCCAATGCGTCACAGTTGTTGAATGGGGTTGCCGGAGGAATGGATGTCGTTGGTAAGGGTAGTGGCGTGGTGAGTGAGCTGCCACTGTGAACTTTGCGCAAAGGGTGATCACTGCGTCAATCAGACGGCTTTGTGGGATGATACTGCTGAAAAAGTTGTGTGTTTTTAGGGATGAGTTGAAAGCGTTGGTGAAGATGATGCCAAGAGGGTGGGAATGGACAGTTGTCCTGGTGTTTGTGGTACGAATTGGTCATGGTGTCGAAGCCGCAGCGTGAACGTTTTTTTGAACGGTGGCAAAGTAGCTGTTCATGTTGGCCTGGAGGTAAATGTGGCGTGGAGGAAGTGAGAGGTCGTGCAGTGTCAGGACATAATGTCCGTCGATCATTGGTGTGGTGTCTGGGGAGTGGAGGAGTGAGCGCAAGTGAGCACAACTGCGTGTGCCGGGGGAAATGTTCTTCCCATTTTTTGTAGTTATAGTCTGGATTGGAATGTCTGGTGTGCTGCTTCACGTAGGTGGCAGGTGGGGGGTGGATGACGTAGTCGAAGTGGCTCTGGTGATATGTGGGAGCCAACGTTCGGTTGCTTTGTGGAAAAGTGGGGTGGGCCAAAAATGGATTTGTGAAGTTCTTTGTGAAGGGTCGATTGGTTTTGGGCATGGTGAGGTTGCGGAATGTGCGTGCTGAGTTGAGCAGGCGCAATACGTGGAATCTGTCTGGTTCTTCCAAGCTTGCTGCCATTTGTCCCATCGCGTAGACTTCAAGGTCTGTGTGGGGAGTGCTTTAACTTTGCGCGGTCGCTTGTGTACTCTTGCCATGTATATACCCGTCGTTGTTGTATGTCCAGAGGTCTGTGTACCTGTGGGTGTCAGAGGTGGTGCTTTCGTGCCGTCGATTGTCTGCTGTATGTTGAGGACCACGTTGGACCATGTTGTCCGGAAGTGGCACGCTGTGGATGTATGCGGATACCAAATGATACCAAGTTGTCAACGAAGACACGCTCAGAAAATCATTGAACAGGAGATAGGGTGGCAAACGACATGTGCCACACCCAGAAACGAGCGATAGCCGATAGCCAAGGTGAGGAATACATGGTTGCCGCAAAACTGGCTGCTGGCGCCAAGAAACTGGAAGTTGCCCATGCTGGCGTACAAAGCAATTGTGTGTACAAAAGATGGGAATATGATATATACAGTAGTTCAACATAATTCAACCCCTTTCCTGGCCTTACCCTGCGCTGTGAGCAGGGCTGAAGCAGCCGCACGCCTCTCTGCAGCAGCTGCTTCCGCAGTCAAATGGACCTTCTTGCAGGTTCCACTTTGAGAAGCTTTCCTTTTCTCCACCTCCTGGGTCAAACAGGTCGTCTGTTTGTGAACAACTTCACTCTGGATTGTCCCTGATGTCTCTGGCACTTGGATGGATGCCATGAACTTGTCGAGGGGGTCTATCTCTGGATCATTGCCCCCTTGATCGAATGCAGCCAAAACTGTTTGAAGCTGCTCTCTGCCCTTCTCATGTGCCAAGCATTCTTGAAGCAAAGCACTCACATTTCTATGAGGAGAAGCTGCGTGCAAGTCAGCCATGTGATGAAATTGCTTCCCTTGCAAGCTGCAAAAGCAATGCAGCTCACGCAGGTAGCACAACAAATCTGCATAATGCACCGCAGATGCTTGCCCACTCCGCCCTTGAATGGACGCGGGTGACTGTGGCCAGAAACGACTGCGAATGCCGCGGCTTCGGTCCAAATGCTCGCAAATTTTTTGTGCGTGCAGAATCAAATTATCTAGAAGCCGCATGTCGGGACCCAGCTTGGGCACAATCTCCAGAACGGCGTTCAAGGCAGCGGACCGGAATTCGAGGCATACTTGAAGATCCGCCAAGGGAGCCTTCCGCAAAGGCTAAGAACAAAGAGCAGAAATCTAGTTCAATCTGTCTAGCAAGTTCTCTGATTCTGGCCTCCCACCACTGACTGCGGTTCGTGCAATCTCTTCCAGCAACTCTAGACTTTGCATCCTGTCATTCGGGCCGAGCACAAAGCCCCTCAAATCAAACAAGGCTGACTGCACCTTCCAAGCAGCTGATGAGCTTGCAAAATCAAATCCGGAGTCCATAGCACACACAGCATCCTCAACAGGGGAACGTTGAAACCAGCTTCGGGAGTGTCACGCTGCATGGCTGCAAGCAGGTAGGTGCTCAGTCTCGGCTCGTGGCATAAGCCTCAGAGGCTCGATTGAAAGCTAGCCGTGCTCTCCCATCCATGCATCGCTCGGGATGAATTTGATTGACCAGGCTTTTGTACCTGGCAGAGTCAAGTGGTACTGTGCTCAGATGCTCAACACCCATAGCAACAGAAGGTGAACAAACGGTACCTCAGGAGAGACTCCAAGGGAGAGGGTCGATGCTGCACATCGCTGCCAAGAAGAGCTCCCGATGGGTGCCTTTACAGCAGAAGGATGGCTCAGAACAAGGTGATTCCTAGAGACAAGACTGTGCCTTGCATCCAAAATCCGACCCAGTGCGTCTTCTTTGTCCTGAGCTCGGCATAAACATGCACGGCTGTCTCGAGTAACAGCTCACCAAACCGCACTCTTATATACCTTGCATCTGGGAATCTCCTGGCTGAAGAACTGGGCAGTCCATGGCCGACCGTGAAAACACCCACACGTGCAAAAATTCACTGCTTTGTGTTGCTCGTGGCCGCAGCTCCTAGGTCCTAGGTCCTACACCACTCTACTCTAATTTATTCTACTAAACTCCACCCTCTTAGACTGTACTACTATAAATGGATATAAATGGCCATACCCAGTGGCAGTGCTTCAGTTGATTGACTTACTTTCAAGTTTGATTTGCCGATTCTCACGGTATTAGCTTGATTTCCAATGTCAAACTGATGAGGTCACAGAGTCGTGGCACCAGGCAGCCCTTTAGTTCCCTTGCGAGCTCTGGAAGAACTGTTTGTGTGCAACATCTTTATGCTCCAGCCGGGCCCTGCAAAGAACATCATCAAAATGACGTCGCGTTGGCATAACCAAGGAACGGTGACAATCTTTTCTTGTGGTGTGTTGTTTCGATATGCACTTGGGTCAATTCAAGCAATCAAGCACACAGTATTCATGGCATGGCCGGGTGCTCCGGCCAGGCCATGATCTACAGCAAATAAGTACATGTTAGCTGATGTGTGCCAAACAGTTGTGAAAACTTTAGTTTTCCACAAACTATTGCCATATTGCTGTCCAACTTCTTTCTCATGGGTGGGGCTGCATTGAGCTTGCTAGAACCACTAGTTTTCCAAGGTAGGGATGATCGAGAGGGGAAAAGGTGGACGAAAGGTAGATTGCGGCCGAAAAAATCTTGGAGTGGATGCGAGCTGACAGGAGGCCACCAAACAGAAGCCCTCAAAAATGCCTTGGACGCTTCCCACTCACCAAAGGGTTCCCGGGTACAAACGTTCATGGCACGAAGGACGAAAGGCATTACTGAAGCACACTGGCTACTCGAACCAAGGAGGAGTCCAACAGTAGAGCCTCGGAAGAACCTCACCAATTACGAGACGTAACTACACTGGAGCTGACTTGGACAAACTCTGCTTTGATGACCTAATTGAAGGAACCAACAGGGAGAAATAAGATGAAATAAGGACCAGCCCAGCACAAAATACATACAGGCAGCAACAAAGCCCTTGTTTGCTGATGCAGAACAGCACGACATTCAAACGAGCGAAATTCAAAAACAAGCAGACTACAGCTGCCTTCTTTCATTCTCTATCCCGAGGCATGCACCATCTTGTTGGTGCCAACCACTGAGGAGGTTCGAAGTTTGCGCACTCCAATTGAAAACTCACTGGAGGCATAAGATTTGAACGACGGTCCATCTTCACAGTCTCTGTTCAGGTTCCACCTCTTTGTGCGCGCCGTTTTCAAGTGGATCCCAGAACTAATCGGGGCCAGTTAGAATGCGCACCTGCAAAGCCAGCTCAAGATCTTCAGGAAGAGATTGCAAACTCCATCTTGTGACCATTTGGCGGCGAAGTTGTCGCAAGCAGTGAGACCGACTCTCTCCAGGTCTCTGTTCCTTTCTTCTCTGAGCAGCTTCCAAAATCCACAAACTCCACACTTCAACCTGGGCAATGTCAGACCCCAATAGCTGGGAACCAATGCTCCACAAGTCGACCAAGGAAGCATTCTGCAGCAAACGGCGTGCAAGTAAACCGCATTTCTTGGCCAATAGAGCGCATTGTAGAGAGTGGTTGCGACTTGTCACACCTTCGTTGTGACCTGATTCAATGAGCGGAACTAATAGTAGCAATCCATCTAAAGCTCGGAGAACATCCAGCGGAAGGACTGCCAAGCGAGAGGAAATCACTCTCGAAATCGCAGTTGTTGAACACGCAAGAAGGCGGCTGTGCACAAATTGCAGCCTGCCCAAATGTTGTGGGATTGCAATTAAATCACGAGGGTCGCAGTCGACGGATTTTTCATGAATCGCATCACAAATCTCCTGAAACTGCTCTTGTGGAGCTGCCCCGTGCTTCCGGCAGCGAGCCAATGCCATCAAAACCCTGCGTAGATCTCCAAAACTCAGTTCATGACATTGCCCGCTGAGGTGCTGGAGAAAGGGAGCGCGCAAGGAGCCTGTAGGAAGCCCCAGCCGTTCAAGTGCCAACATGGACGTCACTAATGACTTAACACCAGCCCTGAGCGACAAGGTTCGAACAAATTCTTCCACCAATGCTTTGTGATGAAAGCGGGCGCTCCCCATTGACCACAAAATCGAAGCCATATCCTGCGGAGCCAGCTCTGCGTGCCTTGGACAAAAGGTGTTCAACTGTGCAAGTGAACATGTGTGGATTGAAACGCCACATGCGCTTGCAAAGTTAATCAAGTTGAGATTCGACGCCAACGCTTGGTCCAACAAGTTGTTCCAAAGCTGTGGGTCCCGATTGTTCCGCCGTGTGGCTTGGCTTACCTGCACCTTATGCAGCAACATGTCGTCATGTCACCATTGAGCATGCCAACTGCCTTACAAAATCAACCCACCATGCTCGCCAAGCAACAACAACTGAGGGCGTTTGGGAAGAAATGTCCTCCACCTGCACAAGCGATTCCCACTGAACATATTGGTTCAAAAAAACACGGGGTGCCAATTTGGCAAACGACATTGTAGGCCGAACTGCGCCAAAATGCACCGGCTCTCCTTGTCCTCATCGAAGAGCCTTTGCGCGATTTGCGTGTCCAAAGCCCGGTACGGGTTGGCTGGGTTTGTTTGCGCAAGCATGGCAACAACAAAAGCCTGGACCCCCAAACCAATTTCGCCGAAAAAAACCGAAAGTGGTATGCCGGCATGCAACAAGAAATGTGCTGCTCACTTCGAAACATGTTCATCGATGCAAAAGGGTGATGACAACGGCGAAGCCAGAGGTTGTGAACACCTTCGCAGCCAAACTTGCCAATCCCTCACTTGGGATTGGGCCTATCAAGACTTCGGTTGCTGCATGACCCAGCGCTTGACCAAGCCCAGGCGTGACCGTGCGACCCACTCGCCCTCCCCGTGTCTGCCAGTGGGCCGACACGACAGTAGGCAACAACATCAAGGCAACACGAAACATACCCACAAAGCACACACTTAGACTCATGGCTCAAATGAATGAGCATAAGTTTCAGAAAGTTGTTTACCAATACACTAGCGCTTTACTGCAAAACAAAGAAGAAGAACACAAATTTGGCCATACGTAGGTTTCTCTCTCAAGGCAGGCGTCAGCTCCGCGTCCGGAACTGATATCCTAGCCAATTGCACGGAGCTGAGCTTCGTCGGCGACAGCCATGCAGCGACTCTGTCGCCCCCTGCTCAATTGAAGCCCCTCATCAGTAAAATCCCTATCGAGTAGTCTCTTGGAAACAGAGGTGTGCACACACACCAGGCGCAAGGCAGCGCGCCCTCGAGTCATAGCGCTTTAGTGCAGCAAAAACAAAGCATTGGACAGCTTAAGCCATACTTAGGTTGACGAGGTTTCTTACGGAAGCATGAACCCTTTATATAGTGAAAAGCAGCGTATTGGACAGCTTAAGCCTTACTCAGATACTCAGGTTCGCAGAGTCTTGGACCTCTAGTGGAAGCCGGCTGTCGCTTGACGAATAAAGAGACAGAGCCTCTAGAGGAGAGGCAGACCTAGAAAGAGAAACAAAAGGCAGGAGAGAACGAAACGAAGACCAAGGAGCGTTGGGTCGACTAAACGAGCCTGAAGAGCAACCTAGCAAGCCTGAAAAACGCCCAACAAAAGAAGAAAAACGCAAGAGAAAAAAGGGTGCGGGTGTATGTGTGTGTGCCCCTTGTAGTCACAGGGATCCACTCGGATTGCGTTGCTTGTTTCTTGTTTTTTGTTAAGCAGGGGGACCGTCCATGTGCTGTGAGCGATGGTCCAACGAAGCGGCCACAGTACACGCGGATATCGGCTGATCACCGTGACGTACCTGCGATGGTTGGAACTTTTGAACAAGCCGTGATCCCACTTTCCTGTAAAGGGCTAATGAGCTTGGCAGGCATGCGCGGCCGTCGTCATCTTGGTCGATCCGCGATCGTCGTTTTTGACTTGAGCTTTGGGCCTCATCTTCGTTTCAGGACCTCCAGGACCCACAGGTTTCGATGTTCCTCTCAGGATTTTGGTTTCTTAGGTTGCCGTGTGGCACTGCTGTCAAGTCAGTGCGCATTTTTATTGGTGTGTCTCTCTTTGTGAGAGCCCAGGTGACCCCGCAGAGCGGGCCGCGTGGACCCGTTAAACGGGTGTACGTCTTCGTCTCAGTACTTCATCGGGAAAATTCTTCATGTACATGCTTTCCCCTCCCTTCTTAGAGCGGGTTACCCGTCCCCACCTTCAAGTGCAACTACGCGCCTTGCACGCTGCCCTTCGTCAGGCGACGCAGGTCACCCACACCGCCCTGCACTATACCCACCAGTTGATGACCACCTTTGGTCTGATCCACACTTTGGATTTTGACACGGATCAATTGGAAGCTGAACTACGTGGTTTCACCTCCTTTCGAGACCATCGCCTCCCCAACCTGACACCCGTCCTTCCTCCTCTTCGATGATGACTACCTCTATGACGGGCTACGACCGCTTCATGGGTTCCCTTCAACCCATCGCTCTGACTCAGGACCGATCATTTCGCGGCATCACGGTTGCCACTACTACCGGACCTCGTCCCCGCTCCGGCCCCAGCGCTACCTCGGACCGCTCTCGCTCTCGTTCGGTAGTTGGATCGTCTCACACGTCTCTTCGATTGCGCATTGACCCCGAAAGAACGCTCTCTTCCATGATCCAATCCACGTTGATCGGTACTTCTTGTCCATGCCACTTATCTTGGTTTTGGCTTCAACTATCGATTGACTACTTCCTGCACTTTTCATGGATTGTCACGTTTACCACACATCCCCCTCACCCCCTTTCCTCTTCTATGTGGTTCTTCGGCTCCAGCCCGTGATTTTAATCTTCTTTCCAGTCCAAGTTTCACGTTCCTCCATGTACCCATCGCTAATTTTCACGTGTCTTTTTCTGGTTTTCTTGTGGTTGCTATCAGTGATGCCCCGCTACCATTTCGCATGCATCGGCCTGACTCTTCGGATTCCTCTCACCCGACATCGTCGCCCCCACGGTCGTCCAGAGACTTCCAGATCTCGTGATCGCCTTCCAGCTGACGCCGATGTGCCGGACTATCATGCCGATGATGCGACTGAAACTCTTCCGGCACCTGCTACTGAGATTGCTACAGCTGCCCCGCCGGCTGAGCCTACACCTCCTGCTCCGCCTACTACCTTGGCTTCGGGGACACCTACTACTACACCGGCGGCTCAGGAATCACTTCATGTCTGTGTGCCTCGACCAAGTCTGGCTTTTCGACCTCGTGTTCTTCCTGGATTGGCAAGCACCCCTCGGGCAACGATTCCCCGTCCCACTTTCCCTTGCACAGATCAACCCGTCCCCTCCCACCCCTTCAGCACGACCACCCCGCGGACGCAACACGAGGACCCATTCCAACCCCTGTACTGGCCCCGTACCACGGCGACACTTCTCACCACGACCTCGCACTCAACCACACAGTGATCGACCGATCTCCTCTCGTCGGGACCATCGCCCACGTGCTCCATGTAGTTACAGGCGAACGACCGAGAAGCGCCAACTATAGTCACACCTTACCTTGAGCCAAAGTACCAGTGAGTGAGACATGTATACGACGTACTAGCGTGAAACAACACCCCCCGCTGAACGAAAATGGGAGGAGTGAAGTTATGTACAGTGCATTAATTAAGGACCTACGAAGGTAGCCGGTCTCCCGGTACGTGCGAAGCAACGAACCGTATCGTGCCTTGAGATGGAGAGGATGATTGACCTCAAGGACGAATCAAATGAAGCACTGTCATGTTTTGATGCTAGTGTTGAACATGTCACAATCTAATGCATACAGGAAAGCTCAATGCATACTGTCGTAAGAGACTCCTTTTTGGCGCAACGGAACTGGAAGTGCTATGCCAACCTTTTAGAAAGCAGGAACAAAGCCATCAAGGCACACGCTCCCGCGTGGCGACAAAGCACGACAAAAGAATGTGCGCTTCTGATTGCAAGGATTGAGAGCTAAGTTCATCGACTTAAGCTCAAACGAATTAGCTGTTGGTTTCAGGCATCCGGTCCCCCGGTGCATCACAGAAACGGTCATCACGGCAACCGCTCCTGCGGTGCGATGAGGGAAAACACTGTGCACAATGACAGCCATGTCGCCCGTAGATTTCGTTCTCTTCTCCACAGGCAACGGCTCCCGCCGTGCGTAGTGCTCACCATCGGCGCTGACTCCACCAGTCATGTCCTCGCCAGTCACTGCCACGACCGCGATCATCTTGCCACCAGTTGCGGTTGGATGAGGACCACCATGAGGATGATGAGGATGACTGCTGCCAATCGTGCGACTGATCACTTCCGGCAGCCCCCCACCAACGATGTTCCGCGGTCTCGGCCTGTGTCCGTGTTGCTCTGGCCAAACTTTCACCTGAATCAAGCAAGTTCCAAACTGATCTTGCCTTTCCTCCACTTTGTCGGATGTCTTCCCATCCAGCCTGTCCTCATCACCAGTGTAGGTGTAGCAGAAGTCTATCTGCATGACAGATTTCCCAATGTCCTCTTTGTTCTCCGTGGACTTGTAGGGATCTTCCTTTGCTCGACTGGCGATGCAAGCTTGATACCATGGTGCATAGGGCTGGTGAGTGACAAAGTGCAATTCTTGTTCCCAGGAGGTAGTTTTGGTTGTCCCAAGCTAATGGGTCTGCGCTGGTTCTCCTGGAGCAGCTTGTTCGCCACCGACAACTGCATCTGGTTCTCCAAGTTCACTTTGAAGGCTAGTAGTCGATCAAGAAGGCGTCTCTTGCTTCCAGTGTGAGCCTTTAAACCTCTCTCTTTGCATGCCAACTGAAGGTCTTTGACAGTGGTCTTGTCGGAGTAGATCACTTCGTCCAACTCAATCTCAATTGGTTTGTTCACGATCACATCCTTCTCCACGTTCCAGGACTTCTGGCTCTTCTCCTTGATCTTCAGACCAGTCCGTTCTTTGCATGCCTGAAGACTCGATCCCTGGATATGGCGTGATGGGGACCTCTGAACCTTGCTCCCAGTAGTGCTTGATCTTCGTGGGCGCAAAGAAACTCAAGGTCCTCAAAAGATTTGAAGAAGGACTGATTCTGCGGAAGGCATTGTGGCCCATGCTGTTGTAATCCTCTACGTTTTCCACTTGCACCCAAGCGCCATCGTCATTCTTCACAAGGGTCATGCGTGCCTTGTAGATCTTCTCAATGCTACCCTTGGGATCCAGAAGCTGACAAGCGACAGGATCGCTATAGACGTTATAGACGGCCACGCCGTTTGGGAGTCGGTGCCATCCTGGTGCCAGTTCCAAACCCTGCACGTACTTGCTGAGATAGCCTGCAAGTGCCAGGATCCTTGCTGTGGTCGATGTCTTTGGCGGGTCTTCAGCATGCACTTCTACCACGTAGATCTGTGCTTCGAATTGCAACGAGTTGCGGTCGGTGTTCAATGGAATGTCCACATTTTTCCTCATGTTTCAGACATAGAACTCCATCTATGCCTCCCAAGCACCATCCTCTCTTCAGCAGTCGCCCAGCACACAAAATAGGATGCTGAACATTTCCCAGAATGAACTCTTCCACAACCTCAATGACCTTGCCGTTCTTGTCCTGAACACGGATTCTGGCCTTTGTGATGCCCTCGCGATCGATGCTCCTGCCTTGAGCATCCACCATCCTCAATTCTTCTGGCTTCGGTCTCCAGGAGCCAACGTGTGCATAGCTCTTGGGCAGGACCGAAATGTCTGCTCCACTGCCCAAAGTCACCAGACAGTTCTTGTCGTCATCCACGTCCTCAATCTTGACCATGTTCACCATGTAGTCCGTTTTCTCATCCTGCAAATCCATAGCTATGATGGCTACTCCTGCAGGTGCTTCCACCACTGGTTCGTGGCAGTCCATGTACTCGTACTCATCAGGGTCAAAGAACTCCTCAATCTCACAATGCTCCACCTGAATCATACCCATTCGCCACGGGTACGAGCTCGAAGCATCTCCAGAGTCCCGAGGCGTCGTCAGGTCGAAGATTTCCATGGACCTGGCCTCAGGTGGTGTTTCCAACCTCACCATCTTCACATTTGCCGTTGAAGGGGTCGTCGAAGTCTGTCCAGTCATACCCGTTGATGAAGAACACGCTCCAACTGGGTTCACCTGCTCTTCGATCTGGTTGACCCTCTTCCAACAGTCTTTTGCAAAATGCCCAAGCTTTCCGCGCGAGCGACATAGTCCAGACTTGCCACCCTTGGTGCCTTTCTCATAGGTCTTCCCTTTCTTGCCTGGACCCTTCTCCCAATGTGTTTTGCCCTTCTCGTTGCCCTTCCAAGAGACACGAGCATCTTTGCTCTTGCC